GCTCATTTCTTGGAGGATTTCCAAAACTTTTTCTCTGTGAAATTGTTACATCAAAAGACTGGATGATACTGTATCTTGATGATCTTGATGAAAACCTGATAAAATTTGTGAAGAACTTGCGATAAAAAGGAGTTCTCATATTTTCCGACCCTATTCTTATTTCCCTCACAGATTCTGGTTCCCTTGCATTGTTAACTGTCACTTAAATCTAATCAACTAGTAGTTGAAGAAGAGTTATGTTTACTTTTTTGGAGAAGTAAAAACCCTTTGAGTTGGTGGATTTCATTGTATGAACCACTTGCTAAACTTTATAAGTAATAAGACTTATAAATATAAGACTGAATAAAGTCATGACCAAAATTAGGACTAACACAATTAATCTGATTCATCATAATTAAACGATTATTGAAATAATTGTCAAGTAGTTTACTAATAGATTAATCGTTAACTGGAGTGTAGAGACTCTAAAAAAAATGCCTTTAGCTGAAAGAGGAACCCACTCAGAGAAGTACTCTAGTTATATAAAAATTGTAAAAAAAAATATGTAAAAAAACTTTTTAGTCTGTCAGTATGTTCTATCCAAAACGCCTGAAGTGGAAAAGTTTTTGTTTCACCTGGTTTCCTTTTGTGAAAAGTTTGCTTTAAGGAACCTTTGGCTATCTGATTATTAATCGAAAAAATTATCAACAGATTAATCGATGTACAAAACAATCATTAGTGGCAGCCCTAGCCAAAATTAATCATAACTTAGGCACTTGTAGAATTAAATTGTATTTTATTCAGTCAAGAAGCTGGTAGAATGAGATTTTAACCAGCAACAAAATGTGTTCTCCTGACACAGGGGAGACACATTCTCGTCACCTCTGTACGGCATCCGCTGCTCCACAGATTACTGTAATGATCACTTGTCTGAAAACTACCATGTTTCAGCTTCTGAACTTTTATGATCACACAAACTTTTATTGCAAATTGGTTTCATTAAAAAGGGGTGTTTTTTTAAAACTGTATTTCCTGTTTCTTTTTTTTCTCTTTTATTATGATATGATGCTGACAACGCCCATTATGAAGGCATTTTCTAAGTCGTAGAGATTTTGTTTTTATCTTAATTTTTCTTTGAAAAGATGGTTAGATTGGTGCAAGCTCAAACAGTTTTAAGACAAACTACTAGAAAATAGGTTGCCTCTGCAGGTCATGCTACTAGATTCCTGCATTTTAAAACAACATTGTGTATTTGTATATTTGTATTTGTTTGATAATCTCAAACATTTAAATGCAAGAAAAACACAAAAAGAGCATAAATCTGTGAGGCTGAACTATTTTTTAAAAGCTTTTCTTTAGTTTAAATAATAAAATGTAATATAGACATGGTGCTTGATCACCATGATGATTTAAGTCATTCTTTTAAAATACAGATCTTATACTCCCCTGCAAAAAAAGAAACAAAAAAGCAGACATGTCACTCATCACCATAAATGCTGAATATAAAACTACAAAGACTAAAAGATGACTTCTCCCTGTGCACATTCTGAATACGTTGGGAGTACAATTGTTTTCACTGCTGTTGATGTTTCGCTCCAACTGCACAACATCCATCCTTGACATCATCAAACTAACAAAACATCCTCTCAGGCAGACACATTAGCATGCAACAGTACTTCTTCCTTAGAGTGGCACACATGTGTGGAAATATGCAAAAAGAAAATGGTGACACACTAGACATTGCTGCTGTCGGGCATTGCTTAAATTTTACATGAGGGCTAAGCTGGTGCGTTGGATCTCAGTGTGCCTGGTGTATGTCTGCTGGAACAAGGACGCTGTGTTAATGCACTGAACCTGAAATAAAATGGTACGAACATCCACTCCCAATGCATGTAACTCAGAGGTAACATATTTAACTGATATTGCTAATGCTACTTACACTTGCATGTTATTTTTTCTTTGCTCTAAACTTTATAGGTTGTGTTAAGGAAATGAAAATGACTTATTTGTATTTAATAATATCTGTGTTTAAGCCACTGAAGTTAATTAAATAGAGCCTTTTTCCTTTATATCTATTAAAATCTGTATGGTTAAAGCAGATGCAAAGTGTAATGTGATTTTTAAATAACATTAATCTTCCTTTTCTCTGAATATAGATTTTCAATTTGTCCCATATCAGCCCCTCTTGTTTGAGTTTGCATCAAACAAGTCAGTTATGAATTCAATTATATTAAAATGTTAAATTAGAGAATTGATGCAAATAGGGACACAGATAAGCCTATAATGTATTACACCAGTTCAGTGCCAAAAAAGAGATTCTATGAATAAAAATCAGCTTCTGCTGCGATTGCTTGAATAAAATAGATCTGTATCATAACCAGTGACATGAACACATTTAATTTGCAGGAAAGTAAAAACAAAAACTCCATGATTCTTTTTATTTTATTTTATTTTTTATGGGAACCTTAAACTTTAGTTTCAGGTAAGTGTTATTGAAAAGACCTAAAAGGTGCTTAAAATCCGGTGAGATTATATCTTTGGCATCGATATGTGTTGTTGGTTGAAAGCCTCTCTCAAGTGAAAGGAAGGAAATCATTTCAAAGAGAAGTCAAAATTAGTCATCCAGCTAATTTTATAAATTTTTTTAGAAACTATCAAATTAACCTTTAAGACAGAGATCATGAAATTAATATGTATATTTCTTTATAAATCAGGCTTAGTACAAAAACCAGTATTGTTTAAATTTAACTCTTTATAGTACCTTACTGTACCTTATAGGTATGTTTATATTAAGACCTGGCAACTGCACAGCTATTCTGGATTTAATGTGTTGTATAGTTTCAGGCAGAAATCAATTCTCGGACCCTCTCAGCTTAGTAGCTAAAATCTTTAACAGCATCTCAACCCTACATGTGATGACAAAACTTTGTCAATTCTCCTGAACCAGCTGTTTAAACATCTTAGAAGCTGCCTTTGATGGCTGATTATCATTTTCTGGCATGTTTTACCTGTTTACAGATTTTCTGTCGACGTTATGCATATTTTAATTTATTTTTAATTCGACCAGGTTAGTTTTGCCTGCTTTAAATCTAGATCTAAATGCTTCAATAGACCATTTTTGATCATCAAATAGAAAAAAAGTAGTATCCACTGGAAGTTGATGTTTGGCTGAAACATAATTAAATTTTGTTTTCCATCCTCAGTCACTAGGGAAAATGTTAACACTTATTGCATATTTAAGAAATTGTATACTTCATGTTGTTTAGTGTAATTTATGGTATGAAAGGACAAATGCAGAACCAAAGTCTCATCAGCTTGCAGATAGTTACCTAGTTAGCCTGGTCACTAAGCTTATAGCCAATCCAGTTTGTTTTTCAAAGTCCAAGCCAGAACGCATCTTAATTAAGATTCAGGCCTTTTTCTGACCCTGTTTCAGACTAAATCAAGTCTTGCATAAGTAACCATTAGTAGTTGTCCCCCTGGATCCCATAGTGTCGGAAGTTTTCAGTGTTGAAGTTGATGTTCTAAAAAAGCAACTCTTATGGTGCTGATCAGCAATATTGTAGTTTTATTTGTTTGTATGTTTCAAATATTGCATACAGCTAAAGGTAGCTTTAACATCACAGTATGATAAATGCATACCTTGATATAAGCCAGTTTTCTCCTAACAAACACTATACCGTAGTTATAATAATTCTAAAAGATTATGTTGTTTACATCATGCTAGTTTTGAAGCATAGCTCTCATTAAATAAGTCAGAAAAACTAACAAAAACGTTAAACTATGGCATTTAAGACACTATAGAATCTAGCCATTCTCAAAAAAGCCACGTTTGTCTGTTGAGTCTTGCTTTCAAAAAGTGTAAAAGAGAAATTTTATGTCTTCCTTTCTGATGCTCTAATGCCAAAGGCAACTTTTTGCAATACTTCTATGTATTTTTGACATCCACAAAAACGCAATAAGTCTCTCAGTGGAAAGAATACTTTAAAGGCAATGCACATCGCAGCAGTATGTTCCACTACTCAGCAGGGTTTGAATTAGGTTTGCTACAACAGAAGCAAATGGTGTTTTTTTTCTCATTTTGTCACCTAACAAGGAACCCTTTAGTGGAGCAAGTGATCCACAAAATTAAAGGAATATTGAATCCATTGCTTCTTAATAGGGTCTTTTTATCATTATTATACCATCAATAATGATTATGGTTCAGACTTAGGATAATGTAATGTAAAGAAGAAAAGTGTTCCAGCTGTAACTGGAAAAGATCAGAATGTCACAGTACAGCTTTACCTCAAAGCTGAGCATGTGCAAAACCGTTTCAGAAAAATTACATCAACTTATTTCCATCCTGTTGCTCAGCTTTCATATCTAAACTTAATATGTAGCAGTATGTCCAGGGGCCGAGGAGCGCACAAAATTTTAGTGAAAGTGTTATTTATAAAAAAAAAAATCAGCAGAACCGTTGTTGCTTATTTAATACGAGCTTCAGTTCACATACAGGCAATTTTAGCTCTGCTGAAGCTAATAAGCAGTGCAAAAGGAGTGCAGGTTTCCTTAATACACCACTAAGCCTTAAATAGATGATTCATTAAGGATGAAAAGCATCAATATTCTTTATGAATGTTGCTGTCATGCATAGGCTGACATAAATATATATGCAAACACAGATGTACGCAGACTGTGGAAACAGCACGGTCCTCTGTAGAGTGGCTGCAGTGGGAATAGGCGTCTGTTCTGGAGACGGTTTGTTTGTTTGGGTCCTGGCATCCAAATGAGCCTTAATCAGTGGAGTTAGCAAACAGGATTGTGTTAGCTGTAACGTCGAGAAACCAGCCCCGCTGGGCCCAGACCTCTCATTGCCCAGGCTGGTCTAATCATCCCAGATTGACCCTAAAAAAAACAAACTCGTCTCAGAGGGTTGTGTTTGATGCCAACTGATTTGTAGTTTTTTTTAAATTAATCTTTTTGAGTAAGAGTCATCTTGTTTTTTTTAAATTTTTAAACCTGCTCTGTTATCTCCACAGGTCTGGTGGTGAGAGAGGCCAGCATAGAGATCACCCGGCAGCAGGTGGAGGAGTTGTTTGGGCCGGAGGACTTCTGGTGTCAGTGTGTGGCCTGGAGCTCCGCTGGGACCACCAAGAGCCGCAAAGCTCACGTGCGAATCGCCTGTGAGTTTATCTGTTATTATCTACGCCTTCTTTTTTTGCATTCATCTCTAAACAAAGTCTTGAGCCTGCCAGGCTGTTAAGGTCTCACAAGCTGTTGTAAAAAAAAAAAGAAAAAGCTTTTGCTGTTATTTTACTTTGACTTCAACAGAAAGTTGAGAGAATCTGAATTGGTTTCTTTCACCCAGTGTAACAGTGGAGAAGCTGAGCAAAGGGGCACAGAATCAAAGCAGTTGTTATACACAGTAGAAGATCTGTATGGCGTCCCCCCTTTTCTCCTCTAACATGGCGCTCATTTGTTCCCCAACTGTGTTTGTCCTCCTCCCTTAACGCATTTTTTTTTTCAGCTGATGAGAAACATTCTGCGCCTGCCCCAAAGTTTATGCTCATTTAAGAAATTCCCCAAAGGATATTCTAGTGAGAATCTGAGAAGTAATGAAACCCCAGAAGACAACAATGCAGTAAACAGAGTTTCTGCTGAGCAGAGTTGTGACATCAAGGCAGCCTTTTTTTGCAACACAACAAATATTACGTAACACAAATGTTCACGCATTGTCGTCAAAATGCCACCTGAAGGCAGATACTCTTGTAGTAGTGGCAAGAATGTTGTGCTTCCCAACTATCTGTCAATCATTATATGGATGTATGACATTTCCTGCAGAGGTTTGCTCCCTCCTCTACTATTGGCCAAAAGGACTTATGCTTAATTTGACACATGGGCGGGGGGTCCAAGCCTTTAAGCCTTTTTTCACTCAGTGATACCGACCCAGTTCAACTTTGTGGCAAAAAGACACCAAAAATGATCATTAGCAAAATCCTTCACTCAGTCCATTTCACAGTGATTGTAGGCTAAAGTTAAGTTTTGGACTCCTTTAGTTTTAAAGACGTTTCTAAACCTTAAAAAAACAACTTATCTTTCTTTTACACAGTTGCTACAGGGTTAAATCAGGGCTGACATTTGCTTCAGTGAATTTTATCCTAAACATTCTTATTTTTTTTTTTTGTTAAAGTCACCTTTAAAATTTGATAGCCAATAGGTATATTAACGCTTCTTGTCTAGTAGCACGCTCACTGCAACTAAAAGGTTTCTTTAATTCCACCTACCGCCAATCAATGAAGGTCAGTTGGTCAAAAAGACAACAGTTGCATTCTCTGATCTTAATACGGCTGGTTTATCATATTCTCTCTAGATTTGGGTTTTTTGTTTGTATTAGACAGAACAATCAGAAAAGAATCTAAAAAGACACACATCACAGACATGTTTCTGATTTTCTGATTGTTTCTGATTGGCTAATGTTTTCAAGGTATGAAAAATTCTGATGTAATTGGACAGAATTTAGTGACCTTTTTACATTGATATAAATTATAATGTATGGACTTAAAGTCTTTTTTCTTTTTCTTTTTTTTTATCAATTCAGGACCTTCTTTAGCCTTCTTGACAACCATAGTTTTACTATAGTTATGGTAATGTAACATTTAGCTTACAGATCAATTCAGCTGTAAAAGTAAATTCATCTTCACCATGTTGGAACAGATGGCACAGTAAAGACAACATCTGTGGTTTTCACCTAAATCCGCTGATTTAAACTCTTTTAGCATATTTTTGCATGTCTCTCTCAATTTGAACCTTTTGAATTCTTTTCTTCATCTTTAAATTGTCATATACCTGCTATGTGTCTCTCACCTGCTGTTTACCTTCATTTCCCTCACAGTTTCCTCCTAAATTTGTTGCATTTTCTTTCTTTCAAGCACCAGCAGCCCTTATTACCGCTTCCATAACACTAGCCTGGCGAATTGAGAATAACGCTTCCCAGTCTCCCACCGAGCTCGTTCCCGCTGCTCCACCTCCTATAATCACCCGTGATGAGCGGCCTGCCAGCACTAACCTATCCCTCAAATCACAATGGACCCCTCTTCCCCTCCCATTAGCTACTGCTGGATGGATTAGCTCCTCTAGTGGGCTTTCTCTTCGGGCGGGCTTCTTGTTAGAGCCAGACTCCATCCCGTTAGGCTAATGGAAACTGGGGTTGTTTTCCTCTACTCTCCCATCATCTAAACATATGCAGTTTAATCAGATCATGAGTCAGAGCAAGTGCTGCTGTGCAAAGAGGCTGCCATGTTGAAGACAGAGCTTTTAGTCCTGCAAACAGGCTAATGCAGTAAAAAGGATTAGGAGGAATGGAGTGTAAAAAAGTTCTTCTGATTACTTTTTGGGTTTTTTTTCATTTAGCATTAATAAGATCCTTTAATTGGTCTCTAGTTTTGGGTTGCAAGAATTTTTTTTAATGAAAATGTAATTAGATTAACAAAAAACAATCAAAATCTGCATAAATCCATTTCTTTTTTTCTTTCTTTCTTGTTTGCTGGTTTGTAATTTTCAACCTGATGACCAGCATTTTCTTCCTGAATTAGATTCAGATGTTGAATTTGTTCGGTGTCACTCCTAATCTAGACTCGTTCTTGCGGATAATGGTTTTCTTAGTGGGAGAGGAGACCACGTCTGAAGTGTGAAGTTGGTGTAATTTTGCAAGACTGGTAGCTAAACACTTCCACTTAAGGTAATGCTAGTCATATGTCTCTCTTTCTGTGGGGCTGTGAGGTCGAAATGTGTTCAGAGCCGAATAACGATGCGATTCCCACAGGAATGCAGACGCAGCCAATTATACAGCAAATCATTGGGCCACAAACTGGAGAAATTACTAAAATCCACATGGAAACAAATATATAAACTTTTTATAGGATCTTGCATATTATACCCATACCTCCTAGATCTTTTATACATTTAAAAAAATTAGCAATCATATATTTTTTAGTATATCTTATCGGAATTTTACGTGATACACCAAAACAAAGCAGCGATAATTAGAAATTGGCAGAAAAAAGATGCGTAATTTTCAGACTTTATAGAGAAAAACACATTTCAGAGCAAGCAATTGCAAACAGAAGTCATATAGGTAGTAAATGCACATCTGTGAGTGGTTACATTTAGTTTAGTGGAGAAAGTGCTCTAAGGCACAAACCAGACACAGAAGGGAAAAAAAAATCATGGATAAAGTTTTGACTGTGTTTATGTCGAGTGTCGGACACCGTTCAAGTCATTATTTAAAAATATACATTCGACTGCACATGAGCACAACATGGAGGATCGTACTGTCAGATCAGGTTTAGGAGAGCTTTTTTAGCCATGACGATAATATCAGAAAAAAAACTTTGTCTGAAAAATCAGCTAATCTGGTCTTTACAAAAGAGTGGTTAAAAAGTAAGACATAAGAAAGACAAAAATAAAATGATATCCCAGTTAGTTTTCCACAAAACTACATTCCACAAATACACGTCGTAATTAAGGTAATTAATTGGTTCAATTAGCCCAGACTAACATTGCAAATCGGGCCAAAATTATATTCCTTTCAGTGGAAAATAGTGGTGGCAGCATTGTGCTGTTGTGGATGTTTATATTTAGCAGAAACAGGGATGCTTCTGATAGTCAATGGAAGGATGGACTTGATTATGGGCAATCCTGAAGGACAACCTGTGAAGCGGTCGTAAAAGACTGAACTGTCATCGGGTTTGATGTGACAAAATGGGAAGAGATGCAGGGTATGAATACTTTTGAAAGGCCCATTTCAGTTTGCTTTTATTTGTTGTTTAATTAAGCATTTTGTGCAAAACAAAAAATATTTTCCTGCCTGATTCTTGTACTTGTGCTTCATCTTTTACTAAGAAATATGCTTGGTCTAAATTTAGGCTCTCTTGGGACCTTATCACCAGTAATTGGCTGCCAGCTTTTAGGGTTTACTTTAAACCGCTCAGTGCCAGCCGAATCACTGCACACTGAGCTACCATGAAGACTCCCATATGCCGTAATGTGTTTATGTGAAGAAATCAAATTTTGATTTATTAGATTTTGCTCTGGTGCATATGCAGTAAATCTAAATGTATCATCTAGAATGTGTGACTGTTGCCTCCTCACCTGTCACATCGTGTCTGTGTAATCTTCTGTCTTTCAGAGGCAGTTTGAGCAGGAATCAATCTTTGTGCTGTTGCTCTGATTTAGCAGAATAACTTTTATAACACAAACCTTAATAGCCTTTTCTGCATGTTGTTTTCCTTCCTTCTTTCCTCTGTGTGTCTTAGACAAGAACAAATGATGCATCTGTCCTTGGATAAAATTCCTTAAACCTTCTTTAAAAGAGAATGTGTGTCTTGTTATTCCTTTTTCTTGTGTTTTGCACAAAAAAAAGAGATAAAACATTTCAATTTATCATTCACTCTTTAAGCTTTTAAAAACTCACAATAATGTTTGGAATCAGAGCATATTCCCCTGAAGGCATGCTTAAGCTGAACTGGAACAAGGACAAGGACTCCCATTGAGTGTGTTGTGAACCTCAGAATAACTATATGTATGTTTTGCTGCCTTTGGGGCTTCTATAATCCTGTGCTGTATGAAAAAAACATAATGTGGTGTTTTAGGGAGGAAGAATAACAGCAAAAAGTTACTGTATTGTAATATAATGTACCTTCATTTATTATGATTAAACTAAAATAATAAGTAAAGTAGTAGTAATAAGTAAAGTAGTAGTTCAAAATATCTTTCAAAATGTTCAATAGGTGCATTGACTTTATCTGTCTTCTATATTCATTCACACTCTCCCAAGACACTGCAGAACATTTCTTTTCCATAATAGATATGGATAATGTATCCCTTTACAAGCTTAACGCTTTCAGAGCTAAAAGGTTTATGTGCAGTTTGCATAGATGTCTAGACCACAAAGCCTCCTATATATATATATATATATATATATATATATATATATATATTCAGTTGGCATCACTGCTTCCTGTTTTGAGCTTTTAGTTTCTTATAAATTCAAATTGGAAAATATAGCATCATATTTAGAGCAATCTTAGACATGTAATTGTGACTTTATGTCAAAAGACAATGTTTCATTGCATTATGAGAAGATGAAAGGAATTTATGCTATTTTAGAATAAGGTTGTTTAATCTAGTTTAGTTAATCTACAGTATATATGACTTTTTTAACTGTTTATTGTAAAATGCTTCAGTTAGATATACTGTAGGAACCTATAATAAACAAATTTTATTATTTTTATGTCAAAAAAGGTAACAAATGGATTTGTAAGCATGCAGTATTTCAGCATAAGTTAGATCTATTTTTTGAATGTGCTCTGAATCCTGTTATTCTAACATTGTACAGATCTCTAAAATAGAGTCGTTGATCACAAAAATACATACAATTTTTTGAAGTCAAGGTAATGCTAATCACTGGTTGACAAAGTACTCAACAGCAGTACTTGAGTACGCATTTATACTAATAGTCAAATCTTACTTCACTAAGTAAAATTTACTCTGTCAAAAATCTACTCAAGTTGAAGTATTAAAGTACTCACTTTTGAAAATACATAAGTATTCAAAAGTACACACATTTAAATTAAGTATTCAAAAGTACAAATAAAATTTTCTTATATCAGTATATTTGTGTATAATTTTCAGAGTAATTTTAAAGAACCTTGTAACTTTCAGAAATCCCCTGATGTATTGATGCATAAAACCACCTGCTACAAATTCTACATGACCTGTAATGAACGTCAGCATTAAAAATGGGACAAAAAATAAGGACGGCTATTTTGATTATTTCTTATGTAAAAACAAACAAAAAGGAAAACAGGAGAGTCTTGATTTTCCTCACATTTTCACCATAGAATAGAGGTTTAAGGTTGAATCTATTAACACAAAGAAACTACAACTTTGAGAACTCATCCTACTAAACAACTCGGTCACATGGTAACAACTAACTCCTTAATAAAATGTTTAAACTACAAATAACATTTGCCCTGAGTTTCTCACAGTTATGAAATGTAATGCAAATCTCTAAAACAGTGGTGTCCAAATTCAGTCCTAAGGTATAGTATCTTCCATGTTGAAATTGTATTTCAGAAAGAAAACAGCGAGAGCAGATTACAAAGCTACACATGTAAGCTGAGCCAAAAAGAATGAGTAACTAGCAGCTTCCTAGAAGTGGAGTGTAGCAAAAAAAGTACAATATTCGACTTTGAAGTAGTAAAAGTTAGAAGTACACCCCCAAAAATCACTCTAGTAATTAAGTACAACAATCAAGTGTATGGACTTTGTTACTTTCCACCAGTGATGCTAGTTATTTTGTTCATGGGCTAGTGTCTACCTACCTCACATGGCTGGATCTGCTTTCACTGAAAAAATGTGATGTGCAAAAACATGGTTGAAATCTCTTATGTCCATACGACTTGTGAATAATGATAAAAATAAAACATTATGTTTACATCTAAGCAATTAAGTTGAATTGAAAAGGCAGCTTCTGGAAGATATTTGATAAATCAGCATTAAAACAACCTAGCCGTAGCGTTTTAACATCCTCTTTAACTTTTTTTCATTTCCATAGATAACAACTGACACCATATGAACACAGGCATAAACAAACTTACTGGTACCCAAATAATTAGCTAAGGCTTTTTGCAGTCCAAGCATTTCTCCACAATAGGCGCACTGCATATAGCAATAATGCAATGATATGACATTTGCAAGATTCAGCGCAGTACTAATTATAACTAAATTATTTATCATCTTATTAGGCGACAGTACAAAGTAGAGTGGTATTACAGTAGGTCCTTGTGAAAAAGTCTTAAGACCCAAGATTAAAGCACAATAAGGCAGATTTATTTATATGGTACATCTCTACAAAAAATGATCCAAAATTTGCAAAGAATCACAGAGATTGAAAAGTGGTCAGTCTCATACTCTGGTCCTCGAGGGCAATTGTCCTGCAACTTTTAGATCCTGTCATTGCTTAAACAAACCTGAGTCAAATATTAGCTCATTAGGAAAGCTTTTGTGATGGTTCGGCAATTTGATTGAGATGTGTAAGTTAATAAACACATCTGACAGTTCTAAAAGACTGTTCCTTAAGGATTTTAATTTGAAATGATTAAAATAGAAAAAGAAAATAAAGCTTAAAAGCATTGTTTGATCGATAGCATTGATAAAAATATTAAGATCCAGATATTAAAAGCATCCGATTGTTTGATCAAGAGTAAACAAAACATACACTAAAACACTAAACTATACTAACTTCTATACAACTGTGAAGCCTTCATGCATGCAACAAATACAACAAAATCTTATTTTTTTGTTAACTTCACTTGTAGATGGTGTCTGTTTCCATTGATTGATTAATTGACTTATTGATCTCACGGTGGAGAAATGTCCCTGTTACATCAGCATAATAGTCAAAAGGAAGGTGCCAAAAGGAGGAAGCGGTGCATGGGGGAATATAACCCAATGTACCGTATTCCTCCCATGCAAAATTTCAATTTTTGTGCTATATTTCTTCTTTTTTCCTTTATAGTTTAAGGTATTTTAATAAGATGCCAGAAAGAGTGAGGAAACATTGAGAAAAGGCTTCTCGCAGTTATGTAAGATCAGTGCTACTGGCCTAACGAATGCATGCGCAGGCCAGAAAAAGTTGCACCCAAAATGTTCTTCCAAGTGCTTACTATTGCAGCAGCTTAAAATATTTAATCCTATGCTTGCAGAGCCCAAGCCTGTTGCTGAGGCCCTGACATTTTCTTCCTGTCTTGCTTCTCGCTATAAACAGTTTTGGGTTAGTCAAGACTGTCTCAACACCCGTATTGTGACACATCAAGCACCATTGTTGTGATGTACAGTAGCATCACAAAAGCCCTGTCACAGCAAAAGCTGTCCTGAGGAAATAATTGGAAGATAATTTTTTTTTTGGTGACATTTTTTGCCACTTCATTTTTAAACTTCTGGATTTCTCATGCCTAAATGCATCTTACAAACTGTTTTTGCCTCCTGTTTACACTTTAAAGTGTCAGTTTTGGTAGAGTAAATCCCTACTCTTGGTATATCTTACTCATAGCCTGTCTCCTATTGCCTAAACAGAGACTAAGATGTAAGGTGCATTATTTATAGGTGTTAACAAATGTTTTTTACCCAACTCAGCATTTATTTTCCAACAATATTTAAAGAAAATGTCTCTACATGTACTTGTCAGTACCATATATTGTGCGTAACATCCATGCTGATGTTGATGTTTTCCCTGCAGACCTGAGAAAGACATTTGATCAGGAACCCTTGGGGAAGGAAGTGTTACTCGAGCAGGAAGTGTTGCTGCAGTGTCGCCCACCTGAAGGGATCCCAGCAGCTGAGGTAAGGTTCAAAAGGCATTTCTACTGAGCTACGGTGTTTGAAAAAAAAGGTTTGAATAATGTCAGTTTTCATTTGAAAAAAAAGGAAAAGTTCTGATATAGACGTGAGAAATGGAAGCAGTTGAGATTTCCTGCACTAAGCTCGGCTGAAAGCTCCCACCTCAAATCCGGTAAACTGGCTTCTCTGAAAAGAGGATTTTCACTGACTTTTTGGGGTCAGTTTCTGATTAAAAGTCAACAACATGTCTGATGTAATGTTTTCCAAATTATATTTAAAGGATTGCTAAAACACCCAGCACAAACAGGGCTATATATTCAGTTATTTAATCTGTTCATTTACAACAAACAGTCAAACCAGCCTGCGTGTTTTCATGATTTACACATGTATTTCAGATCTTTTTTTTTCATTAAAATAACACAGAACAAATGTGACGCCTTAAAGTGCACAGATGACATTTTCCAACTCTACATGGGCTATTTAAGTGCTGTGATTTTTTTTCCTGAATGCCATCCAGTCGCAGTAATTTGGGGGGGGGGGAGGAAATTATCTGCTGAGAGCAATTCTAGAATAAGTGTATCCGTGCAGCCTTGGTTTCGCTAATATTTCCTCCTAGCCTTTTAAGTGTAATAGCTCCTTCTGAAAAGGCTCAGTCGAGATAGCAGGAAAAACGAAAATACAGCGTGGAAGTGTGGTTTTGATGGGTTGAAGTTGAGGGTGCTAAACTCTTGAAGGCTGATTGACCTGGAAAAGCTGAGTTAAGTGAGTGGAACTGTGAGGAATTTATCCTGCTGAAAGTGCTGACAAGCTGAGTGGACAGAAGTCGAGTTATTCGCAGTCATTGTACAACCCAGCCCTCAATTTGGTTGGGATTCTTGTAATTTCAGACTATATGCATGGCTGTGTCTGGATTGCCCTTTTCCAACATGTGATTGCTGATTCTTGGGTCCGGATTTGGTCCATCTATGTTTCCTAAGTTAAAAGTTGGTCCAAAAAAAACATGCGCCTCTGGGATTTTTATGTGTGTGTGTGTGTGTGTGTATGTGTGTGTAATATTGTTGGCCTTTACACTATAACCTTCCTTTTAGAAAACAACTTATCTTACTTTAATCCACCTAACCAAAAGTTTTCGATCAGTTTAACATTGTTGGTTTAAAAATATTCCACAGAAACCAGGTTAAGAAATTGCAGTTTAACACGCAAAGAGGATTCACACCCTTTTTAAACTGACCCATTACAAAAAATAAACAGACGCAAAGGGGTCTGGGAGAGTGAGAGGTTCACCTTAATTAATTATTCTCCTGATAGTTCTCCCCAGCATTGTTTTCTTTGTTGCATTTAAAATGTTATATCAAACGCATTGTTCAATGCAATACTCTGAGTTAATGGGAAAATCTGTTTTTTAGCGATGGTTCAATTCAGGGCTGAAACAATCAGATTAATCGTGATTTATCGATTATTGAAATAATGGTCAACTAATTTAGTAATCATTATTCATTTAATGGAGTAAAGAGACTCTAAAACATGCCTTTTACTGACAGAGCAACCCACTTAGAGCTAATTATACCAAGACTGTAAAAACATTTTGTATTTAAGAAGATAAAAAAAAAAAAAAATTGGAATTCAAATTCGAGTGAATACACTCTATCCAGAATTCCACATGTGGAAAAGTTTGAGTTTCACCTGGTTTAATTTCGTGAAAAGCCTTCTTTAAGGAATCTTTGGCTGTCTGATTACTGATCGATAAATAAAAAAAAAAAATCTAGACAAATGAATCAATTTATTAAATATTTGTTAGCTGCAGTCCTAGTTCAGGGGTTGATGATCACTAACTCCTCTTTACTTTTAAAACTTTGGAATGCATATAGGCTATATATAGGTTCTGCTGGATGACTTTATCTGTTCAAAGATATTGGAGACAGTAACTGTCATTCTGGAAAGGGTAACAAAGCCCTTTCTAAGGCTTTGGACTTAAATCCATTAACAACAGAAGAATTAAACAAGAAACTTTAGTAAACTTTTAGGCAATTATTCGGAAAAAAGACAAATCATTTTAGAATATTTTTGGAGCTGATTGACAGTTGCCTTTTTTAATCTCTGCTTTTGTCTCCTTGAACCCCAGTCGGCCTCGGCAGATGGCCGCTCACACTGAGCCTGGTTCTGTTGGAGGTTACTTCCTGTTAAAGGGGGGGTTTTCCTCTCAACTGTCGCTACTAGCATGCTTGGTGTGAGGGATTGTCTTTGAGTCAATGAGCTGGTTTTCCTTAGATAGATAACTTTGAACCAATCTGACTGTGTGATCTGGTTGAATTGTCTCTGTAAAGAGCCTTGAGATGACATATGTGAATTGGTGCTATATAAATAAACTGAATGGAATCGAATTTTAATTTATTGTAAATTATACAGCAATATATTTTGCTCCCCTGTCATCACTCTTTTCTCACACCTGTGTTTATTCTTTACACCCAGCTGTTCTTCTTTTTTCCTTCTTTCCTCCTGTTATAGAGTTACTGCACCACTCACTGGCGTGGCATTAGTATTGCAATTACTACATGCTTGGAGTGGTGTCATTCTTGGGCTCGAACTTTTCTATGTGAATCACTTGTTCAGCTCTGTGTTGATGTAATCATAATAAAGCTATGGGAGCTAAAAACAACTTCACAAATTGGTTAAGACTTTGAAAACAATATGTTCTTTGTTTGCACCTCACAATTATACATTATATTTTACCATGTGTATTGTTTTTCCATCTGTGTTCTGACTGCTAACCTATCTTTTTGTAATAAACCTCATTTATGTATACAAATTGGTGCTTAAAAGATCCCTTTCACATGGTAATATCCCCATTTTACCCCAGAGCCAGCTGATTTAGTGGGGAAAAAAGGAATACTGAAAGCTGCTTTTTCATCTGTGTTTGTCAGACCTTTTCTCACACAGGCTAAAAGAAAGGGAAGCATTGGAAAGGAGCAGATGGGGCTAAGGCTGTGGTTAAACATGAATTTACAGAAAAAAAATGTAGCAGACGCAACGACGGGAAAAGATCTGTCATATTTCACTGCTCAAGACACAAAAAATATAGAGGATGAAAGAAGCTGAACGCAGAAGGAGGAGAGCCGTTATGGTTTTGTCGGGACTTGATTCACTGGGATGTTGTCAAGCCTCCAGTGGCCTGTTGGTTTACTCAGTGGTTCCTTTGCAGACCTTTGGCAAGTTACTGAGAGGCTGGAAGGAGGGCAGCCTGTGGCTGGGCTATAAAAGCATTGCTCTCGCAGCACTTTTCGCTTTTTTTTTATGTGAAGTGCATATTGTGCAGTGCATGAAAAGGACAAGCACGACATACGCTTGTGCTGATTGCTCATTGTCATGTGAATGTCACGTGTCATAACTAAGTACATTACTTAAAAAAAGAATGATTATAAAATAAATAAATCTTTTGGGTTGAATGTACATTGTGATTTCAGATGGTCAGCTGTTACAAATAGGTATTTTACTGAATTAAAAAGAGAAATTAAAAGCTGTTTGGTTTCTGTCCTTTTAAATTGTGACTGTTCACATAAGTAATTTCCATAGTAAAAAAGCAGTTCCCGTATTGGCTGGCTTCTCATTATTAGAATTTCTTATTAGCTTGATTATTTGATCACCTAAAAGTTAATATAATGTCAGCGTCAAGGTTAATCGGAGACAATCTAAGAGGCCAAATATGCTTCTGGGTGTGCAAGGCTTTTAAAAAATATTATGTACCCAAATACTACCTCCAAACAGGACTTTAAGATTAAATATTGCAAACCTTGATGTTCCCAATAAAATTGTGATTTAGTATATAGTTCTACCGAAGTGCCAAAGTCGTTTTTGTTTTCAAAGCTGTGCCGGACTATAGTTGACAAAATGCTGCAAGCAGAAGACAAACAGATGAAAAGAAGTGAACTAAGGATTGAGTAGCATACACAAATCGGATTGAATGCTGTCTGCTTTTCCATCCATTCTACTATAAATGCAGAGTCAAATTCATTTCATAATTTGTGCCTGCCAACCATTGTTTGCTATACCTCTGCATGGACATAGAAAATCCAGATTAAAAGTTGAAGAAGAAAAACTACAGTTGCCCCTGTTTGGAAGATCGTAGTAGAAGAAATTGCTGTTTTCCATAATTTGCTGAACATTTCTTATGGATCTAACTGGAAATAAGCTCTTCTATTAGCTCCGACATACACTGTAGGGTTTTTTTTTGCCCTTTTTTGGAAGATTTTTCGGTCAATCAAGAAGTTTTTGGAGTGAGCCAAGTTTAAGCTTCATCGGGGGTCCTCTGCCATTTAGAACACAGGGGGTAATGATGGGTGATTAGATGCACACGATCATCTACCAATCAGGAATCGTATGGTCTGATGAAGGTGGTGCTTTTGAAGTAGAGCTATGAGTCGATTTACCTCAACCACCTGTACATGCAAACAAGGGATTTCTTCTTCTCTGAGTTTTCTTCCAGATAGACAAGTCCGAAATGTGGCATCTCTCTACCGGGCTGAGTCCAATGTGTGGTTTTTGGTCGTACAGTGTGAGCAGGCAGATCGCTTCAAAGCATAAACAGATGTCATGAGCTGCAAAATTTAAACCCTGCTGTTTCATCATACAGTCTGAGCTGTAGCTAAGTACAACAATAAATACACTGTATGCCTCCCCTTAAATGACAGTTGAGAAACCAGTGTAGTACAACCCCCAAACCCCCCAATCCCCCAAAAAAGCTTTCCTAGGAAGTATAACTCTCGGTAAAACTGTTGTTTTAATGTGTAAAAAAGAAAAATACTGTGAATACAAGTATGAATATGTCAGTAAGTTTTAAGCAGAGTGCTTTTATGGACTTGGAGGTCTTTAGGGCCATGGTAGAGCTAAAAGAATATAGGAGAGAATTTGACAAAAACAGAGGAAATAAAGCTGAATCTATGTACAGCTAAAGAAAAGATGTTAAACAAAATCAATGAAATGCATATAAGAACAAAATAAAATATCCA